AATAGAATTGCCTGTGAAGGACGCTATGACATATAAGGTATTTTCCTTCCTTCTTAACCCCCACCTGCCTCCTCCCTCCCCTCTCTGGTTGATTTTCTGCCTTAACACAGGAATCACACCAAATAGAATTGCCTGTGAAGGACGCTATGACATATAAGGTATTTTCCTTCCTTCTTAACCCCCACCTGCCTCCTCCCTCCCCTCTCTGGTTGATTTTCTGCCTTAACACAGGAATCACACCAAATAGAATTGCCTGTGAAGGACGCTATGACATATAAGGTATTTTCCTTCCTTCTTAACCCCCACCTGCCTCCCCCCTCCCCTCTCTGGTTGATTTTCTGCCTTAACACAGGAATCACACCGAATAGAATTGCCTGTGAAAGAGGCTACATGTATGACATGAATTCTTTAGGTATAAACATGTAAACTGTGTCTCATACACATGTAGCTACCACTGTGCTGCTAATGTAATGCCAATAGTAAGACCAATTGAATGTCAGTCTCTCCCTCCCTATTGCACTGGATTTGTGTTTGAATGACTGGAGTTTTGAGATATTTCTTACCATATTTGTCTCCATTTGCAAACATATACACTCCTTTGAGGACATTTTGACCTGCATATACATGTAAAATAATGTAAAATACTTGTTGTTCTGAGTTAATGACGGGTTAATGACTACAAAGGTCACTTCAACTATGATTTGAATGAAAATAAAGTCTACAATGAAAATAAAGGTAGCGAATTTGATCTAAGTAAAGAAGCTAAGCTTCACAGTGAAGCTAAGCTTCTTTAGAAAATGTACCTGCATATCAATGCAATATCAAGAAAGTAATGAAAGTAATATATTGAAATTCATAAGGGACGKATCATTTGATTTTTGATGGGGGGTAGGGAAATTTTTCATGCAAACTTTCTTTCCTTCTAAGTTCGCCCTTCATTAAGTGCTCAGTATTTGTTTGCTCTGATTGATGTTGTTCGATATTTTTTCACAAGTTAAAAACCTTATTAGGTTTTTTTTGTTTTGTTTTTGAGATTCTCATGTTGTACCACCACCACCCATCATCTCTAATCAAATGGACTATCCTGATCGTATGGTATAGAAATGAAATCTGTAGCAATACTTAAAGCAAGTTCAGCATAACATCACACRCAAAYGAAGACTTAAAACTCCARTTGTAWGCAGTGTAACACAGAACATGTCTAAAGCATGATTTACCCTCATCTGACTTCGTTCCTCCTTTCTCTTGTTTCTTGTTGGAAGCTTGTCACAAAAACGAAAACAATGTTAATGATGGACAAATAAAACTTACGAGAGCGATACCATCGGYGAAAGGATGCCTTGGCTTGTAAAGAGTTTGGAGCGAGAGTTGAAGGACTTGATTCTTTTAGAAAACAAAATATTGGCCCAAAATTTTAACTAAGTTAATATGACATCATAAAAGTGTCTAAAAATTATGTCATCGTTTAGATTTTCCCAGGGCTGCCACAAAAAAAAATYAGGAGCATTCATAGACAAATGATAAAAATATTTTTATCAAGGATTCAGTGCATTTACCTGGCATTTTGCGCGCTTTTTATCTACAAGTCRTCCGCCATTTTGTAGCTTCCTCTGTAACCCTTGACAACGTCCAACTTGAAAAGGATTATGGGGATTTTTTTAATTTTTTTACAACAAGTGTTCTCATTGGTCAAAATCATGTTTTCTTTCGAGAAAATCTATTGGTTAAGGAGTATGAGGATTCCATGAGCAGAATGATGTTGAGTTCTAAAGAGTAAAGTACATTGTTTTTKACGCTACTGGGGCAAATCCTCGATAAAAAGAATGCAGTTCGGGAGAATATCAAACTGCGTGTTGTACTGCTTAGTTTTACGGTTTTCAAGCCAATAGAAAAGAGCTCAGATGTTCCAAAACCGGCTCTGACATCTTGACTTGTCCTTTCGTCATGCACCCGAAGGCAAGAACTCAAGAAAAGASTGTAAAAGCTGAATTCCCTGATGTTATAGTTCCACAAGAGAACAAATACAAGCAACTTAAGCACTTTGTATCAGGAGGAATTGCTGGAGCAGTATCTAGGACTAGTGTGTCGCCATTTGAGAGGTTAAAGATATTACTACAGGTAATGTAAAACCGGTCTAGCAGTTCTTACGTGATCGAATTCATGTCTAGATTTCTTCTATAATTTCACACTCTTGTTTATAAACTGCCTCAGATTCAAGTCTCTGATGTAAAGTTCAAGGGAATTATACCAAGTTTGATTACTATTGGAAGGGAAGAAGGTATTCTCGGTTATTTTAAGGTACGTTTGATTTTATATGCAAATTGCAATACGACACATTACAGCATACCTTAAACAGACCATATGTTGTATAGTATCTTACCATTAACATCAAGTTTAGTTAAGAAAAATAAATATCCTTCAACAGTTAACTATATAGTTGAAGTAATAATAAATGTTTTTTTTTCTTACGCTATTACCTATAAATGCATGTGTACAGTATGTTAAATATATGCTAATAATATTCTAATTATTGTTTTGGGGATTAAACAGTGGCGTTAAATTAAGACYCTGTTTGTTTAAGTTTGTACAGTATGTTATATATCAAGTATTTGAGTATTTGTTGATTGATAATTGAGTACTTCACTAAACAGGGAAATGGAACAAATGTTATACGGATAATACCATATAGTGCTGTACAATTTGCTGCTTATGAAGAGTACAAGAAAGTAAGTAACTTTAGTTCTTGATTTTCACAAATGTTGTTTTCATCAAATTTTGACATCCATYTTTCATTTCGCAGTTGAATGAATCTTAGAAAAAAAGTTCTTTTTCCCACAGGATTTGAATTGTGTTGGAAACTTACATGGCAACATTTAGCCATGAATTAGGTCTAATAGTCCACTTCGCGGATAACACAGCTATTAGAAATTGAGCAAATATCGAAAAACTATTACCACCACTGGAAAGAACAGTATGAAATTAGTATGTTTACCAGGTTTGAGCATGATTCGATGAAAAGTCAAGGAGAAACAGCGTTTAAAAGTCGGCAAAATTTACAAAGAAATGTATGGCTGTCGGCATGAGATCGAGGTTGACCTTGACTTGTTACAACCTCGCCAAACATTTCTATGCAAAATTTGGTGTTTTTGAAGTGCCGTATCTCTTTGAATTTAAATCAGATTATTTTCAAACTTGGCAAATTTGCTGATTTTATGACGCTCTTTCCAGTGATGTCAATGATTTACCATAACAACGTAATGTAAAGTTTCGAATTATCCACGAAGTGGACTATTGAGAACAGATGCATTTAAAAATGGACTCTTGGTTTTATATATTTTTTCCTCAAATTTTTCCAAATGTGCATCAGTGAGCAAAAAAACAACAACAGAAAAAAAAACAATTTACACTGTAGCATATTGTGCTGGACAGAATTCTGAGAGCATTGGGCAAAAAAAAAACAAAAAAAAAAAAAACAATTTACACTGTACAGCATGTGTACTGGACAGAATTCTGACCAATGAGAGCATTGGTCAGATTAAATTGTACAGGATAGACTGCAATCAAAGATCAATGTTGTTCAGCAACTATTTTGACTATGGGTAATCACCAACTAATACTATTAGGCAGGAGTTTCTTACAAGTTTAATTTTCAATTTTTTTTTTCATTTTTCTCATCRACTTTCAGTTGTTGAATATTCCTGATCACACTTCACACCAAACTCCTTTCAARCGACTGCTAGCAGGAGCAATGGCTGGTGTKACATCAATATCAGCAACATATCCATTGGATTTAGTAAGGTAGGTATCAGATTTGGTTAAGCAAAGCAAATTTTTTGAATAATTAAAAGCAAAAATGGTGTTTTTGTTTKATATTTAACAGAACAAGGCTGTCTGCTCAAGGTGAAGGCAGTAACAAAAAATACAGGTTAGAAAATGGATTTTTTCCATCATTTCTTTCTTCATGCAAGTCTCTYTTAATAGCCCAGCTCTCTCTTGCCTTGAAATGAGAGACTGGTACTAACAGGAAATCTGCCGGGCAGCATAATACTCCAGCTGCCATTTCCCTAGTCTTCATTTCAGTGTAAAAGAATCAATTCATCAAAATTATGAATAAACCCTTTTAGCGATCTCTTTTACACTGTGTTAGCCTCAAAACCATGTAATAAATTCTTTTATTCACTAACAGCCTGTGCAAATGCAAGAGATTCGTGAGTATAGAAGACAATGGAAATAGTTTGAAATCTTACGAGTTTTATCTACATTTCTGAATATTTTAGCACACAATTGAGGCTAACACAGCATAAAAGAGATCGAGAAACTCGACTATTATGATGGTAACAATGGTGTAGTATCTATCTGCAGATGTTGTATGAAGATTCTATTATTTATTTCCAGAGGAATAATTCATGCATTCCAAACAATATTGAAAGAAGAAGGAGGATTCATGAGTGGTTGCTTATATAAAGGACTTTTTCCAACAACATTGGTATGTTTTCAAAGTAGTAATGGAGCATTCCCTATTATTATAGTAGTGTCTCAAATCTCTCACCAACTACTATAGTAGATTTAAGTTTAAAGTTTTTTTTTTTTTTTTAAGTTTTTTTTTTAAGTTTTTTTTTTTGCACTTAAAAGTGCAATTTCAATAATGACACTTTTTATATAAATACTATATTATCCAAGCCGTTTTAACAACATTGAATTGCTTAAAAATTTGTCTGCTGAGGATGCATTTAGAAGCACTAACCAATACAGTTGACTCTCTTTGAACGACCACTCTCGTAATCGACCATGTACCCCATATGCGACCACCTTTTGAATTTCCCGTTATTATT